AGTTCCAGATCAGCCTGGGCTACATGACATCTTGTCTCAAAGGGTGAGGAGGAAGAAGAGGTGGAGGAGAAGAAAGTGGTGGAAATCCATCTTCAGAGCAATAGAAAACGATGTTGCCTCTGTTTGAAAATCTCGTTTTATTATGGTGTCATTTTCAACTCCTAGTGAAAATAATAACTAAGGAAGGAAGTGACTTCCCAGTGCCCTCTCCTAAGTCCCCAGCTCGGGCAGGTGGCTTGCTATGGTAGCAGTGACTAACCACCACTCCTTCAGCCTGTTAACTCTTTCCTACTGAGTCCTTCCGGTCCTATGTACAGGTAGATGCCACTTGTCGGGTAACCACACTAGGACAGGGGTTTTTCCCAAGCTGTACAGGTTGTTTGCAGTGCATGGCTGCCCAGCTGAAGGCATCGGTGAGACACCAACAGCCTGTGCGTCTGTATTCAAGCCCACCTGAAAACAGCATTTTGCTGGTTTGCATAAAGGGCAGTTTCCCGGCTGCTCTGTGTGCCCAGAGTGTGGCTATCTCTGCATAGAAGATGGCTGGTCTAGTTGACTCAGTAGTTCCCAGTGTGCTGGGAACACCCCTGATCCTTAAAAGAACCTCACAAGTGATTAGAAGAGACCTGGCTAACAGCCTGACCTGTTCTCTCAACCCCAAGTCCTCTGTGTCAAAGGTCCTGCCTGCTTACAGTGAACAGCAAGTAGATACCTAGCAGGTCCTGAGGGTGTTTGTAGATATAATCACTATATAATTCAGGGTAGGGAGGTTCAGATCCATGTGGGTGTTGGTGTCGCACATTTTGCTATCACTATCTCTTCTTCTTGCTCCAATTTTTACTGTTCCTTTTTGGAATTTAGAAATGTCCGTCCCTCACCGGCAAGCTGCCAGCTTTTTTTTTTTGGCACACATGATAGCAGTCACTCCTTAGTGTCACTTGGGGTCATAGATAATAGCATGGGCAACATAAAAGGAACTGGGATCCTACAGATCACCCCAAGTTTCCCAGCAGTCTATTCCTATAGCTGTTGGCTTTATACAGCTTCTTTATAATCTGGCTTTCCTCACCACCAGCAGATGGCTGATAGTCTAGACTTCTTATCAAGACATTCTACATGGGGCTCCCAACCTTCCGCTTCCCAGAGCACCCCTCAGGGGCCCTTCTTAGTCATTTAACCCCACTATCTTGCTTTTGTCTCTCTCTCTCTTTTTTCTTTTTTCTTTTTGCTTCAAGTGGGCCAAAGCTCAGTAGAGCACCCTCTTAGTATGTCTGCAAAGAGCTGCCTGGAATGGGGCTCTGACAGTGCTGAGTGAGCTCCTCCAATGACTGGTTGCAGCTCTGAATTGCTAAATGGTCTGCTGCAAAAGGCTCTTCCATACATTCCTCAGGAAGCTTTAAAAAATGTAAAAGCCTCCATCATTCTGTGTCTCGGATTCTGGTTAGGATTTCTGGGAGGCTCTAATTTGGAAACCAAAAGAACAAAACTCTCGACTGTTTCTTGGTCAGAATAATGCCAGATTACTGCCCTGGCACCAGCATGTACTCCAGATGTAACTTTCGAGTGGGGAGGTACCACTTGCATGCTGTTTTAGTATGTTTTGAACCACAGGATCAAAGATCATTACAGAAAGAATTTGCTCATTTGCAAAAAAAAAAAAAATTTACAAAGATAAGGTTATAATTAGTGATTTAAGTGAGAACAAACTAAGCGTGTTACTTGTGTGTCTTATGGTTTCCTTGTGACTCACAGAGGAGCCCTTGTAGTAGTAATGTGAACTCATCTCCAGTGCCCTCTGATACATGTAACTACCAGACATTTTAAAATGGAGTCTGAAAGCAAATTGGGTAACATGCACATGCACGCCCCCTCTGTGGCCTGGCTTATTTTATGAGGACCATTATATTGTCTAGATTTCCAGTGAAAATTGTGGCATGACAGGTCCTTCCTGCTTGGTATACCATTCCATAAGAGTGGGGTTCCTACACAAGGAAAATGTGCATTATTCTGGATGCTGTATGGAATGCACACTGGAAGTTCCCACTGCTTACATGATATCTACCCTTACCTGTTTCTCTACAGTTACACATAGATTGTTTTTAAGATAAATGTCATCATGCTATGGAGCATGATCTACAATTCACATATCACTAGAATGGTCCCTGAGAACCATTGCCCACTCCTTCACATAGACCCTGGGTATGCATCCCTGAGAACCATTGCCCACTCCTTCACATAGACCCTGGGTATGCCATCCCCCTGTGTGATCCCCTGCAGCCTGTTTAGTCTCTTCTGTCTTGACTGAGCATCTGTGTCATCTCCAGTTTCATCTGTAAGAAGCCTTGTGGAACAGCAATGTTCCCGCTCCCGAGGCCATAGGTATTCCAATATGATGTTGGTCTAGTTCATCTGTTACATCGCACTGCCTTGAATAGGCCACGGGCTTGATGTGAGGACTTCTGTCTGCATAATGGATCCATTGTTGCCAACAGATCTACTAAGCATTCATTGAATGCAACACATAAAATCTTTTTAGGTGAAGTGGCTATTGTTGCAGCAGTTTGAAAATAGGAACAAAATGGTGGCCTTGTGGCTCCTTCAAGGCCCCCACAGAACATAGCCATTGCCTCCGTTCCTTTGCTAGTGCCTCATTTTAGTAGTTTTCACCTTCATGGCTGTTGCACTTTCTCGCCTTCTCTCTGGAAGCCGGGATGGGATTCCTGAAACATACACATGACCAGTTCCAGTGGCCAGCAGGGTGGCTGGGGAAGAGGTGATCGGAAGCATTGGCAGTGAGCTGCCAGGTACCCGGGACCCCAGTGACCCCTCTCCATCTATCTACCTGCCCCTGTGAGAGCTGGGGCCCATTCCCCACTGGCTTCATTTCCCACAGCATCTTCTTCCTTTGTTTTCTGCCAGTGTTGTTGAAGTATAGATAAAATACTGCAAGATGTGCCCTCTTTAGTATGTAGTTCTACCAATTAGAACTGGATTTCTATTAGAAAAAAGTTCCGTTTTTGTCTGCCTCCCACAGGTAGTAAGAGTGTCACAAAGAGCCTTGGAGAAGGACAGGGTGGTGGCTGTGTAGTGATGTGAGTGTCCAGAGCTGTGCACTTTAAGAGAGCTAAAATGCTAGAGTTTGTGTTAGATCTACTTTAGCACAATTGAAATAAAGGCTAGAAAGTAGAAAGTAGAAAAGGTCTCAACACTTTGCCGCCTTAGCTACACTGAGGGAAATGCAGTATAAAGGCCGATTGTATGGAATTTTACATGGAGTTTTGTTTTGCATTAAACCAATTACACACTGAGTTTTGTAGCAGCAGCCAGATGGACTGTTCTCAAAAGGTAGAACTGGCTAGGGACTGGAAGATTCAAGCTCCATGCAGATGGGCTTCCTGGAACCAGCAGGAGAGGGGCATCCCTGTGTGCTGTGCATTGGGTTCCAGAATTGGAATGAAACAGTAAAGATCAGGAGAGATGGCTGGCCAAGATGTGGGAGTGCCAGAGGAATGTGAGCTAATAACCAGGCAGGGCTTCTGTTGCTTTAAGAAGCTG